GCTTGGGGGAGTTGGCCACTTGGCCTTCATAACTTTGGCCATTGTCTCGGGATTGTTTTTTTTTCTTAGAGAGGAGGGAGGGGAGGAAGGGAGGGGTAGAATTTGTAACTCAAAACTTTAAGTAAAAATGTTTTTAAAAATTGGGGAAAAAAGAAAGAAAGAAATGGGCTGGGAGAATGCCCTGGCATTTCAGGGATCTGAAGCAGGTGAATCATTTTGTCTGAGGGGGTAATCTCATCTAGGTCACCTGCTGGATCTTGCTCAGGCCTGAGAGAGCACATTTCACCCCCTCCCTCCAGGTTCTGAAGGCAGGACCTTTGATGCTAAAATCATCACTTGACTGGAGCCGAAAGCGATGCGGGAGTGGTTCAGAATCCAACTGTCTCCCTTCTCTTTAAAGGGATATCGGCAGAAGGACTATTTCATCGCAACCCAAGGACCTCTTCCGCACACAGTGGAAGACTTCTGGAGGATGGTCTGGGAGTGGAAATGCCACACAACTGTGATGCTAACTGAGGTCCAAGAGAGGGAGCAGGTGAGGAGTAGCCCCAATGGTGGCTTAGCCACCAGATCTCCCGTGGAGGTCCTAGGCATTGAGGATCTTACACTAGAGAAAGTTTTTGTCACTTATTGTTTGACAGTTTTCATTGTCTTAGCTCCTCCTAGTCCTTCCCCCCTAAAACTGCCTTGTAATTATTCTATATCTACCTATAAATGTACGTATTGTGTGTGCCCCTACCCTTAAAGAATGGAAGCTCCCTGAGTGCAGGGGTTTTTGCCTGGCATAGTCATTGCAGCACTTAGATAAATGTTGCTAGATTATTGGGGTGCTACAAGACAATTTGTGAACCCCTTGGGCAATGAAGGCATGGTCACCATGGAGTTGTATTGGGATAACAATCGTCCTCTGAGACCTTCTGTTCAGGCGGTCTCTCAACTCTGCCCATTTTTGTTTGCCAGTATCACCAGCTGTGGGGGAAAATGTCACTCCTTCCCATTACATAAGATCATAAAAACGTGGAGATTAATGTGTGTGTGCCCAGTTGCTATGTCACTAAACAAATGGAATGAACTAAAAGTGTCCGGAGCTGTTCCTAAAGTTTGCTTAGAATTTGCAGGAAAATAGTGACTGAAAGCCTTTGGTTTTTATTTTTATCTCCTAGGAAAAATGCTTTCAGTATTGGCCAGCAGATGGCTCTGTGACTCACGGAGAGATCAATATTGAAATAAAGAGCGACACCATTTCTGAGGCCATCAGTGTACGAGATTTCTTGGTGACTTTTAATCAGGTATTGGATGCCATCCCCCCCGCCCCCCCAAGAGGGTGGAGGGTAACAATTGCTCTTTGAAACTCGATGAGCCGGGAGAATTGCAGGAGTGATGAATGTGTGCAGACTTTATTTATTAAGCAAGACCGCTGGCCACACAGCAGTTCATTCCTCTGGGTGTATGGCAAGGGAAACACCATGAGCCGCTGCAGGGATGCCCACGGAGGCCCCTTGAAGCATCTCGAGCTGCCCCCTAGGGGAGATCTCTAGCATAACATGCTGGTGAACCATTGACAGGTGGAAGTCCCTGGGGCCATCTGGGAGAAGTTATCCAGAGGGGAATTTTAGAAAGCAGGGCTTTCTAACTCAGTGTTGGGTGTGAATGCTGCATGTGTTTAGGTTCCTAGTTTCACCTAGGTCAGTAAGGATCCTCAGAATCCATTTTACAGATGAGGAAACTGAGGGGGAGCGAGTTGAGATCTCATCAGCTGCTGTCTTTTGTCCTATTGCCAAGGGGCCAAAGGCATGCCCATCCTCTGCTGAGGGACAGGAGCGGGTAATCACAGAACTAAACCCAGGTTCATCTTTGGGTGACCTCATCGGGGGGGCACAGAGGACCTCTCCCCACCTCACCCCCAGAAGCCCTCCAGCCCACTCACTGGGAGTTTGCAACTTTCTCTGGTCCCATGGCGCTGCTGGGGAGTGACCCATCAGGAGAGTGGCCCTCAGGGCAGACGCTTAACAAAGGCTTGTGCATTGGTTGGTGGATGGAGATGACAACCTGAAAACCAAGTGTTCAGATGAGTCCTCCTAATGACGCACTGTGCCTCAACCCCCTAGGAGAAGAGCAGGCTGGTCAGACAGTTTCACTTTCACGGCTGGCCTGAGATTGGGATCCCAGCCGAAGGGAAAGGCATGATCGACCTCATTGCCGCTGTCCAGAAGCAGCAGCAGCAGACGGGCAACCACCCCATCACCGTGCACTGCAGGTAAGGTTCCTGCTCTGCCAGGCTGCTCTGTGGGGCCGTTAATTCTCCAGCTATGGCGAGCAGCTGCCTGCTTTAAGCCCGTGTGGAAGGGGTATTGAAGTTCATCCAGCTTCATGGACCTCTCAGTTTCCACCACTATAAAATGGGAGCCCTGCTTACACACTCTCTGTCATGGGGCTCGCTAAGGGGAAAGCATCTTAGAAAGCTTTGAAGCACAACAGAAATGTGAGTTATTATCAGATGCCAGCAAGGCGATTGAAGGTTCTGACCCATTAGGAGCTGACAGAGAGAACCAGATGTGAGATCAGAAAGCCTGGCTACAGTCCTTATTCTAACACTACCTATGTCACTTCCCCTCTCAAAATGAGAGCTAATAATAGCTTACATTGATGTAGTGCTGTAAAGTTTGCAAAGCACTTTACAGCTGTCATCTCATTTTATCCTCACCACAACTCTGGGAGGGAGGTGCCAGTCTTATCCCCATTTCAGAGATGAGCTAAGGGAGGCAAGCAGAGGTGAAGTGACTTGCCCAGGGCTCCACAGCTAGTAAGCATCAGAGACTGGATTTGAATTCAGGTCTTCCTAACGCCAGCCTCAGCATTCTATCCACTTCACCACCTGGTCGCACTGGATTGTCTGGCCGTCTCTTCCGGCTGTACATCTCTGCTTCTGCCTGTAGGACCTCAGACAGTTTGTTCGGCCTCAGTTTCCTCTGAGCGTGCAGATCCTAGTACTGTATCCCTGGTGTCCCCGAAGGGCTGTGCTCTGGCCCAGTGCGGGAGGGGCCTCCACAAGCAGCGTCCTGCGGCGGACGTCCCTCCGCCTTCCGGGCTTCTGCTTCCACCTCGGGAAGATGAAACGGCCCCTAAGGCCCTCTGGCTCCAAATTCTAAACACATTTTACTTTATTGTTGCTAGCTGTTGTTTCTAATTAGATCCAGAAGTCTCAGACTGACTTCATTTCCGCCCACACTCTGATACAAACATCCGGAAGGGAGGCTGCTGGCTGCGGCTG